TTCCTCCTGTAGGTTACAGATCAGATGGGTCTTCTCCATTTCCTCATGTAGGTTACATATGGTGGGTCTTCTCCGTTTCCTCCTGTAGGTCACATAGACAGGTGGGACTTCTCCATTTCCTCCTGTAGGTTACATAGAGTATGTGGGTTGAGTGTATACTCTCAATCTGTGAAGGTGTTTTGATGTAGGTTACACAGAGGGCATGTGGGTTGAGTGTATACTCTCTTAGATTAAGAATCAGATGGGTCTTCTCCATTTCCTCCTGTAGGTTTCACAATCAGACTCCCTTGTCTCTAGGGCTGGACACCGAATCAGGTGGGTCTTCTCCGTCCCGTTGTCTTTAGAGCTGGACACCGAATCAGGTGGGTCATCACCATTTCCTCCGCTAGACACCGAATCAGGTGGGTCTTCTCCATTTCCTCCTTAGGTTACATAGGGGGCATGTGGGTTGAGTGTATACTCCCACGTTACATGGAGGGCATGTGGGTTGAGTGTATAATCCCAATTTGTGAGGCCAGTGTATACTCCCAATCTTTGAAGGTGTTTTGCCAGGCAATCCGTCCGTACGTAGTCTAAACTCAGCAACGGCTTCGATTCTTGGCCAAAGTTAAACTCAGCAACGGCTTCGATTCTTGGCCAGTCGGCAACGGCTTCGATTCCTGGCCAGTCGGTTATATCGGAGAGTGCCAACTGTTCTCCTTTGTTCGAGCTTTAAGTTCGTTGCACCTTGACTGTATACTCCCAATCTTTGAAGGTGTTTTGCCAGGCAATCCGTCCGGTACGTAGTCTAAACTCAGCAACGGCTTCGATTCTTGGCCAAAGTTAAACTCAGCAACGGCTTCGATTCTTGGCCAGTCGGCAACGGCTTCGATTCCTGGCCAGTCGGTTATATCGGAGAGTGCCAACTGTCCTTTGTTCGAGCTTTAAGTTCGTTGCACCTTGAGGTCTAGAATTTTCTTCTGATTAGGGCCTTCATTGTGTGGAATGACATCAGCCGGTCCATGCATTGCAAAATC